ATTGACTGATTCATTTTCTCAAATCTGCAATTTTGTCAACCAACTGACAAATTTTGAGCTTGTCTGCATTTAAAAATCCGCCTTTTTACTAATTGTTTTTATGTTGGTTACAATATTACTAATTTATTGTTTCGTTTTCTCGGCTGAAGTTTATCGATTTATACCTAATGGGCTTAAATGCATCAATTTGCGTCGTTGGATGATGAAAACATGTTTCCTATCTGTATAAATTTTTTGCTGAGGAAGTGTTAAGTTTTTGAGAATTTCAAAATTTTTTTGCAAACATTTTTTGGTTCAACGGGTGTCTGCTCAAAAAAATTCGGTTTTGTTACGGCTTTGTAAATTTTAATACGATGCAAATATAACTTTCAATTGTCTTGTTTCGCATTTTTTTTGCAAACAATATGACAAACAAGACAATTGAAAGCAGATAACCGTACAACAGCCGATATTTTTTTAAGCTAACACCTGTTGAGCCAAAAAAGTTTTAAAAAAAGAAACTTTTTGAGCAGGCACAAAAGTTTTGTCAGCAAAGGCGAATTTATTCAACATTCAAACAAAGATATTAAAATTTTGGTAGCTCTAGCTTTTTCTTGACCTTTTCAGAGCCTTTTTTTCTACGAGCAAAGCCTGTGTTATAGTATCTTTTTTTCCAAGCTATTTCGCAAATACTATTGCGACGCAAAGATTGTTGCGACAAAATGAGTTCAATTTGATCAATAACCAGCTATTAAGTACAGCCAATGCTAAGGATATTAACACAGACTATTGTATTACAAATAGCACTTTAGCTTCAAGGTATTAAGGATCTGTAGCGTAGAGGTAAGGAAGAAGGAGACCAGCAACAAAATTAGAGGGTTCGAACCTGGGTAGGGTCGGATATTTTTATTGAACTTTATCGTATACTAGTTAAAATGCGTCCGCTCTACAAATTGAGGCATGTTAGTTGGTAAATTTCTTTTTTTTTCAAACTGACTGGTACTGCTAATGCGTCATAATTGGTTCGCGCTACTTAGCAATTATTTAGACTCGACGATTAGAGGTTTTCAAAAGATTAAAAGTTCCATGATTCGGTAATTTGTAGGAGCTTCAAAGGATTTCCTTTTTTATGAACCAGCAAAAATGGAGCTTTATGATAGCGAGATTATACTTTATGGCGCGGATAAGTCTTTTTTTTGTAATTTTTGGATTTCATTGCCCACATAAATATTTTTTGTTCAGTTTCGTTGTATAAGAAACTAATAAATGGAAACTTATTGCATAAATGAGCCAAGAGATTGATTTAAATATGCAAAATTTTTGTTTATCTGTGTACCATTCTTTAAAGTTTCGATTCTTTGAAAATTTTGTGTGTGTTATGGAAATATCTGAATAATTTTATGTGTTCATTCAAATTTTATGTTTCTATCAATCGAAAAATTTGAAATTTGTTTCATTTTTATCATTCATAGTTAAAATGAAGCATTGAATATAGATTTTCGAAAGACCAATCTATCTTGAAGGTAGTTAACTTTAGAAGTTTTCAGTAATTTAAAATTTACAATTTTTAGTAATTGCTGCATTAAAACAATTATTGGAGGTTTATGATTGAGATTGTCACTGATAGATTAGGTAAGTCATTTTGTGTAATTTTTTTGTTCCTTTGTATTATCATGTTGTACAAATGTACTCATGTCTGTATGTTCATTCTTTTCATTTTTGTTCATTGAGAAAATAGTAAAAGGAAACTTATCGTATGAATGAACCAAGAAAATGATATATATTTTGTCCAAACATTTCGTTTATCTGTTTCTGATGTTTTTCAAAATTTTGATGTAACTTATGGAAATACGTTTTTTTATTATTTATTTTCTTATTTGTTTATCACTCAACGACTATTGTTCTTCAATATAAAATGTAGCAAGATTTAATTACTTGTTATAAAGAAAGAAAAGTTTGCGCAGTCTTGTGGCAGAAAAAATTAACTAACTTTTACAGAAGAGCATATATAACGGTGGCAGGACAATCTACCCTATTCCAAACTACCCTATACCATTCTACCCTATGCCATTATATCCTACATACCAATCTACCCTATGCCAATCTACCCTATACTAATCTACCCTATACTAATCTGCCCTATATACCATAATGAGGTATCATAATGTAATCTTTCAAAGTCCTAATTAGAATCGGAAAGATACAGCACGTGTTAATTCATTTGAGTCTAAATTTTTGGACTCAATTTGAGTCTTTCACTTAAGGAAATTGTTCATTGCGCTTAATTCCAGCTCTAAGTTTCGTACCAGTTGAAATGGTCAATGCTGCTTTTGACTTGGTCATTGAGGAAATCGAAAACGTGTCGGACAAATTTGATCTTGACGACAATATCACTCAAAAACTTGATGAGGTAGCCTCATACTTTCAGCGCACCTACATTAAAGGCGAAACCATCGGAAGGAATTCTCGCGAACCTCTCTTCCCAGTGGCCGTAGAGGGCTGAAATTTTGGGAGGTAATAGAGGCCAATACCAAAAGAATTTTACCTTCTCCCTCACCCCGCCCCCCAGTACCGCCTTGGCCTGGTACTGGGGGGTCTACCCCTCCTTTTGTGATCAACTAGTCAAACCCTCAGTAATTTTCGAATTTCATTCAAAATTTGACTTCTTGGTGATTTGATCTTTCGAGCTTTTGATTTTCAAACACAGGCATTATCCGCTACGCTATGTCGACTTGATGTGATATGACTTTTGTTTGTTTAAGAAATAGCCGCAACGCATTTCTATAGCAACATTGGATTAAAATTTCTGTTCGTTCATGCTTTGAACTCATTTCCATTTTGAACGCGCAAGTTTTACGTTGCTTTGATATTTTGTTCACGTGCGTCAATTATTCTTTGATCATAATTAATGGTTCTTTGATTTGTTCGGAAATATACTGTTTCGGATTCTTCAAGAGGATGGGGTAAGTTTCAATTGCTTTAATTATAGGGTAGAATGGTATAGGGTAGATTGGTATAGGGTAGATTGGTATGTAGGATAGAATAGTATAGGGTAGATTAGCATAGGGTAGATTGGAATAGGGTAGAATGTCATGGAACCTATATAACAGCTGTTAAGCTTAAAGCAAAAATTAATCAAGGTGATTTACTTAATGGTGATTTGAAATGAGCAATAACTAAATTGAGTGTAAAACTGTTTTTGTGAGATAACTGAGTATTGGCCAAATCTGAGGCGTTAAAACAAACGAACCATTGAAATGTCTGAAAAACAGAGTAGGAGTGTTGTTTACTGAAATTATTTAGTGTTATGACAAGTTGAGGTAAAGTCTTGCTGCTGTTAAAATTGAGAAACAGCTGGAAATGTATCGTAAAAACTTTTCCTTTATTTTCTTGCGCTCGGAAATCGATATTGATGGTTAAGTTATTTCCAACTTTATATTTTTCTGGCTCATTGTTTTTTATTTTTAGTTAAACTAATGATATCATTCTCTTTTTTGTTAGCTAAAACTTTTTACCTGTTCGTAAATTTCGAAACCGTTTAATTGATTTTATCACGGGTGATCATCTGTCTTGTGAATCCCATGTTTCAATGTTTTTCTCTTTGCGGTTGAACGAGTTTTTTTGCCTCGTTTTTTAAAATGGGTAATTAGTACTCCCGTTGAGGATATTAGAGACTGATCATAAGACCTGACAATCTGCTAACACTTGTTTCAAAGTATGTAAACGAGATAATATATTTTTTCCAGAATAAGGTGGGAGTTTGCTGTTTGTTATCATTTTTTGTCTTCGATGCGTAGTTTCCCTGCTGTCTCCGTTAACAACGTGACTGATTGAAAAACAGCTTGTAGTTTTAAACGGGTTCCCGGGTTCCATTTCTCTTTCTTTTCAATTTTGTGTTTTCTTGAGATTGGAGTGTCGACAATAATTCAGCTTTTATGAAGCCGATGAAGAAATTCTTAGAATTGGTGTATTTAAAGTTTGCTTTAGTCTAAATTTAATCGCCAGAACGATTTTCATCTTTACGCTTGCGAAACATATGCTCACATTTTAAAATCTCGTACCAAAATTCTGGTAAAAGTATAAAAAGCATAAATAGCTGGTTATCACAATCATTAAAAAAACGAAAAACCTTTTTTTAGAATCATGTTTTTTTTTCATTATTGTGGTATGATACAAGGATCTGACCAAACCCCTAGACTTACGGCGGCATACTTGAAGCGCGGAGCCCACAACAAAGGCCTGGAACACTCTACGCGCTATGGACGGGCGAAAGAATTCGAGACTTCGCAACCAACCCATTAGACAGGACGCGAAGACTTTCATCACAGACAGAAGCAAAGCTGAAGGTGCAGTCAGAGTCTACGCGCAAGTCAGCTAGGTTCAGATACCAAGAGCGGACTAGACGGACGCCTACATGGCCTACCTCGGAGGCCTCTAGACTTAGGAGGACTTTGACAGTCCTGGGCAAGACCAAAGCTTCGGCATCTGGCCCGGACGGAGTGCACCCGCTGATGTTGATCAATCTCCCTGACGAAGGCAAAGACCGCCTTTTGCTCCGGATCAATAGGAGCTGGACCGAGAGCAGAGTACACAGCATTACATTATTGACTGTTTATTAAATTAATCTAATGGCATCTCAACTTCATTGAACAAGTAATGAGATGGAGATGTTAATTTTTGCGAGCAATAAGCTTTTCGGGTTTCAAGTTTTTTCTCATCTGAAATAGACAGTTCGAAAGTGAAAATCTGTTTGCAAAAAGAATAAGTATGTTTAAAGCATTTGTAGCAAAATACAAAATTTAACTATGGAAACAAAATTTTACAGCATCTGAAATAGAGAATAAAACGAAAATCTAGAGTTCTGTACGAAAATGAACACGAAAGTTTGTTGCTTCTTGCTTGATTCCAAGTTTTGTTCTAAATGCATCATGTTTGGCTCATCTGCTGCTGGTAGACGAAATTGACGTTGTTTTGGAAGCTGGTCGGAGTGCTGACGTACTGCGGTTGAGGTGGGTTCTGCATAGACGTGGGACGGTGAATACTGCCGTTTTGAGCTAATACTAGCGTGATATTGGGGTAAAAGTTTGGTTGGTTCTCTTTGGGACTAGGGTTGTTCACGCTGCTTCGTCGTTCTACTTGCTGAAATTATTCAGATTATCTACTCAATTTTATCGTCTTACAACGTATTGTTATTTCCTTAGCATCTGTGCAGATAATAATTGCAGTTCCTGGCTCCAAACTTTGGTACAAAAATAAAAACATATTCGATTTTGAAATCAAATCGGCCAGGTGAGTAATATTGAGAAATTTTAGAGACAGATGACAATTCGAGTGAGAGGAACATTAGCCGAAATATCAATAAGCAGAGTTTAAGAATCGGCTTTTGATTTGAGAGCACCAATTATGGGTATGTGGAAAATCCATTTGGAACTTTCCTTCGAAGGTGACTTTGACTTTCCGCTCATAGGAGGTTCCTGCACGTCAAACTGATCCGGAGCCTCCAAAGAGTAGGGAGCGTCGCTGTAAATGTGATCCGGTGAGTCCAGTAACTCATCGGGAGGCGGTGGGAAATCAGTCAAGGGCGAGGAGCGCTCTTTAACCGGGGAAAGAGAGGAGCGCCTCCTATCATCAGTCTTGTTAGAATTGTAATTATTTACAGGTCTTTGAAGTGAGTTAGATGGTGTGGGTAAGTTTGAAGACGGCAAAGGCAGAAGATAGTAATCTGTTGTTGATGACGACACGTATTTGTTAGCTTGAGACGGATCACTGTTAATTACCTGTCTTGGTAACGAGTTGTGGTGCAACGAGTTGTCGTCTAAGTGTTGGTCGGGTAACCCCCCTCCGCCTCCAGTACCGTTTCCATTTCGGGGAAGCGTTTTCCCGCGGCACAAGCTGTTGTGCTGCTCGGTCTCGTTGTACTGCGACAACATCGGGGATGTTTCGTTTTCGGGAATAGTAGAAAAGTTCGTGTCTCCAAACTCGTATTCGTGAGACGAAAAACGATTGTTGCCTCTCGGCACTTGGTAGATTAGTCGGTTGTCGTCGCGACTAAAATTGTGAACATTTATTTATTCAACTCTTTTTTTCCATCTTTTTGATGTGGTTGTTAGTAATGCATCCGTTATTTCTCATATCAAGTACTGAGTGCTTTTTAACCGTCAGTGGTAAGTCCATAAAAGTGAATCTATAGTAAATTGAGTTAATTTATTATTCTTTCAAGGCGGCGCTTCCGGCAGTGAATATGAAGGCAGCTAATTAGCAGGTGTTGCTGATTTCATTTATGATGAGTTTTGGCACGAATTTCTATAGTCTTTTTCCTTTTCTGTTATTTATAATCTGATCAGAAAGAAGAGAAAGGATTATGGAGTGGATAGACAAGCCGAAACAGAACAAAACGAGTGGTAAGTAGAACACAATTTGCGATAGAGAAGTATTTTTTGGGGTTTCGATTGATCAAGCACAAATATGGAAGACATAAAATAGAAACAAGGACAATTAACCGGAGAAATAGAGTGACAATTAACCAGATAAACGAAGTGACAATTCAGTTCAAGGTCATCACAAGTAAGATAAGGTCAGTGAAGGTCAGTAGAGCATTAAGGCATGCAGATAAGTTTTGTGAGAACAGGTGTTAATTAACAGGTGGTTCAATGATGTCAACGGTAAAGGTCATCTGCGTGTTGTAACTAACGGGGTTCGACTCAAGGATGACGAGTCCACCATCATTGTAGGTTCTATTCCTTCGCTGGAAGTCGAGTGCGAGGACATGTTCCTCGGACGTCTGGGAACCGGAGGAGGGTACGGAGCGCCGCTTTGGATACTCCCATTCGCAACCATTTGCTGCATTGTTGGTGCCGCCATGTACCCGTTACTGGCATTGAAGTGCATGAGACCTAGTCCACTTTGATCTGGCATGGGCATGATAACGTGCCCATTCGGATGGGACATAGATTGTTGCAGCATAGGCGAGCCTCCGTTCATCATGTGGTCTTTGTTCAGTCCGTTGATGAGGTCGTAGTCTTTGTCGAATCCACGATGGTTGTTACTTGAGAAGTACTGTGGCGCCATTGAAGTCTTGGGAACCATGCCTGGAAGTGTGTGGTGTAATTTGTTGTGCATCATGACGTTCTGAGGAGTTGGTGGGTCTTCGTACACATTGGTCTAAACAGAATGGAACGTCACTTTGAGAAACCTATTATAGAAGTACAGAAACAAGAAATATATAAAGTTTTACTAGCCTCCAAAACCTTTGAATAAGCTATTTTGCAAAATTTTCGAAACCGCGGTCCCTTTCAAAATTAAGTGACTCATCAGATCAATGCTAAAATGGAAAGTGAATGACGGAAACTATGAAGAGAAAGTTTGGGGCACTAAAACATTTTATAACCATCATTCGGGGCACTAAAACCTAATATAGCCCTCATATTTATTTATACCATGGAAACGGAAATGGCTCTTTTCCCATTCCCAATCGCCCTCGTGAAATTAACCCCTCGTGAAACTGTTTAAAAATTGTTTGCTCATACTTAAATTTGTATAGGGAAAATGTTGTAAAAATTTGTTCACTTGTTCATGCTGACACGTTTTATTGCAGTTTAGATCATCAATCTTTTTAAAGCAGGGTTTTTAATTTGAAATTAGAAGAAATAAAAGGGGATTGGAAAAAGTCAGGGAGTTGAGGGTTTGAAAGCGCCCTGAATTGCAGCCGGGCTGAACATTATTTTGCTTACATCTTTCGAGTATTCGGGGTCATACATTCCCTGGTCATGGTGATCTGCAAGTGTGGTCGTATTCCTGGCTTTGCAGTAGGCATAAAGAAACAGAACCATCATTCCCAAGGTCAATCCCACAATAAATGTAGGCGCAGCGACCACTAGAGCAAAGGTAGTTTTATCTGAAACAGAAAAAAAACATCAATCGAAAATCATACAAACAATTGAGAGATTAGACTTTGAATGAAAAACAAACAATAAGCAGTTTTTTTTTCCAGTCTGCTCTAAATGGATTTATTTTACACTCCGATCGATGGTCTGTCAGTTGCCAAAGCGAAGTATTAAACACGTATGCCAAGTATTTTAGCGTCTACGCGACACAGTTTTAGACGGTGTAACAGCTAAGTCGCTCGGCGGGTGGCTAGTGCAATTAGAACAAGAACACTTATAACCGAAGAATGGTAATTGTTTCTGACGTTGTTAATCGCGCTTATATTTGACCATTTTTTGTTCGTTCTTATTACCGCACGTGAAATTTCACGATAAAAAACGTGTACTTTTATTGAAAATATTGACCTTTTTCAGTCGGCTTTTTTTTATCTTTTCCGCTCAGATAAAAAACAAAAATAGTTACAATTTAATTGCTTCCAACCGTCCGGTTTTTAAATTATTTATAAGTTGTCTCCTTGGATCATTTTTCATTACAGACTCATCGATTTTTTTGTTCAGAAAGAAAAACATATCAGAGTCTGAGTCGACCGTTATCCATGCCGAACTTGAGCGATTTTGCCGATTACATTCGTGAAAATGTGTTCAACATTGACACGAATCGCCTTGTAAAGTTCCAATCTATGCCCAGAGTTACAAATCCTGTTTACTGCAAAGTATTTTTCACAAAATCGAAGGCGGTCAAACCGCTCAAGCTAAACGACGTGAAAAAATCAGTAGCGTTTGCTCTTGGGCCAGAGAGCTCTGCTGACATTCTGGAACGACCTCTGTGGCGATGGTTAATGAGAGCCGGTTTGACTCCCAGTGAACTTATGGCTCATAAGAAGAACAATGACCAGGCATGGCTGCTTCTGTTCCAGGTGCCGAAAGAAATTTTCGTTCAGCCGGCGCATTGGGAAGGCATCATAGATTATGTTCAGTATTACTACCCAAGTGTGTATATGGCTGTATACACGCATGCTTTCCGCGTTCGTCAACTTCCCCTCAGCGAATTTGAAAAAGACCTCGGATTCCGATTCGACAGATGCTCTAATGACTCGGAACTCTTCATGACGGAATCGAAGTTGTTGCAACGGTATCCCGACCTACATCTACCACCTTCGGTCGCCGAGACAAGACTGTTCCTGTACTGTCAACTGTCTTTAGACGACAAGTTCTTTGGCGACGGATTCGTTCGGCAGCACGATCACTCGCGAGGCGCAAAAGAGTATATCATGCCGAATTTGGATCTTATTGGAGATCATGTTGAACTCATTCCATTCAATTACGAGATACCAGCTAGTTTTGATTAGATATTTTGATAAAACGCGAACGATTATTAAATTTATAAATCATGATTGAAGTTAAATATCTACAATATTTTTTTGCCTATCAGGTTCGTTGGGTAGTGTGGCCGTCCTGTGTCTTAGCCGAAAATTGGTCTTTTCTAACGTTGAAATTTGGCTATCTTCATTTAAGAATTTTTTTCCTCTCTCATTATAGCTCCCGCCCTTAGTCTATCTACAAAATAGTTTTCGGTTTTTTCTTTTTTTAAATTATCTTTCATCAGTTGATTTTATGGCTCTTTTCCAGTTCCCCCCCTTTCAAAATAACGAGTTTTATATTTGTTTTACGTGCTATTACGGCTAAATGCGTGAAGTTACGCTGTAAAGTATGAAGAACAAATCTTTTCAGAATTGTCGATTTGTTCACCATGCCAAATTTCATTGCATTGTGACAACGTTAAATAGACTTTTCAAAATTGAATTTGAAAGGGGGGGGGGGGAACTGGAAAAGAGCCGATTTTATTTTCAAGGTCAACTTGTTGATCAAGTAGAACGTGGAAAAGTTCAAAGCAAAAAAATGAATTTTGTCTTAGGGGGTTTGGCCCTATGGATGAATTAGTCCTGAAGATATTTGGGCTCTTTTCCAGTCCCCCCTTCAAATTCAATTTTGAAAGCTTATTCTATTTTGTCATAATGCAATGAAATTTGGCGTGGTGAACAATTCGACAACAGATTTGTTCTTCATACTTTACATCGTAACATCACGCATTTAGCCATAATGACACGTAAAACAAACATAAAACTCGGTTTTTTAAAAGAGGGGAACTGGAAAAGAGCCGATATTTGATGCAAAGATATTTGATGCCAATTTCAAATGAGGCAAATCAATTGATGCCAATAGCTACAAAAAGCAAGTCGCATTTTGAATCGAATTTGCATGCTTTTGCTTTATAATTATTTCTTACATTATTGGATCTAACTTTTACCATTTTTAAATTGTAATTCTACTTTTCAATTTGCCATTTTTCTAACTTTTTGCCAACTTTTCAGCAGTGCAACTTCGCCACTGTGTAAGGAGTTGCCACATGCCAATTTTTTCATTTAATAGTATTGGAAAGTCTTTTCCAATGAAACATTGTTTGCACAAATAATGTCAGTCCTGTCAATCTTGCCACCCTGCTTGATAAAAGCTGGCAAAGACTCAGGTTTTGAACAACTCTTATTTTGCTGGTGTATGATTATAAGCGAGCGAGCAGATTTTCTTTTAACCCCAGCCCCTTTGGTGGTGCCTAAGAACAAAAACCTACCCTTTTATTGGACTGTTTCTGGGCGCGAAAATAATGTCACGATTTATTTCAGGGCTATTTTTGTTGCGGCCACTGAAATCTTTAATAATAATAATAAATTGTTACCGAACGATATCTAGTTACAGAGTTATTTGTGTTTAAGTTTTTTCAACTTTTTGTTTTCGACGCAAAATCAGGTACCACAAAGAATCGTCGGAAAGGGTCGAGTGATATATCATATTAAAGTCTTTTCAGTCGTGATTCGAATCATATCTAAAAAAACCCGAAAAAATTGGTTTAAATTTTTTGATTTTTGTTCTGATTTTGAGTAAATAAAGCGAACGAGCATGATTATTATACGCAAATAAGACGAAAAAGTTACTTTTACTCTAAGAATAGTAGTTTTTGAAGCTTGTCATAGCGCGTTTTTGAAAACAAGCAATCCCTTAAAAAATTTTGTAAAAAAGATAAGACTTAATACCGTTGTCAAAAATGCTTATTCTACTCTTTCTATCTATTGTACTTATTTTCTAGGCTCCGTTCAGTTCCGCTCCTAGTCGAGCAATTGAGTTTTTTTGTGACTTTTTGAGCTACTTGCGAAGCAATTGGCTGTCCTTGTTTATATGCGATATTAGATGTTATTCTAGATGATGTTATAGTTGGGCTGTTTCTATGATACAAGGCGTAAAAAAACAATACTTCGTATTTTGCTCCGCATATCTTTCCTCGTGCATCTGAAAGCATTTTTCGACGAGTAAAACCTCCTAGACTGCTTTTTCAAAAATTTAACTGTCGAGAAAAATAGGTTTTTCGTTTTCAGGCAAAGTTTCAGGGGCTGAGCTCAGGGGGCGGATCCAGGTTTTTCTCGCAATATTTGAAGAAATGCCAAAAAAAGGCGTTTTTAGGCAATCTTTGGAAAATTTTGACCACAAAATTGACTTTTTTCGGCGCGCGCTCCCACTCAAAATTAGTATATTTTGGCGACAAAGGCGCTTTTAGAAAAATTTTTAGGGTCAGTCAGCCAAAAAGGGAAATCTCAAAATAGTACAAAGGGCAAAGGGGGACCCTTTGGGTCGGCATGGGGTCGAATCCATGAGGGGAAGCGGAAGAGGCATCCGCATCCCAGCCCCCCCCCCCCCCCCCCTAAATCCGCCCCTGGCTGAGTTGATATTGTAAACATTAAATCTCTCAGTCGTTTGAATTTTTCCGTAAATGATGAGAGCGTTAATAAAGCAGAAACGAGGCTAATTATTCCGAAGTTCTCATACAATTAGCGGTTGAAATAGTCACGAGTTCTGGAAAAACCAAGTTTAGAGCTAAACGATAGTTTAACCGACTTCAGTTTCTAGTTTACGAATAAAATCGTTAAAACCAGTTGGTGAAAAACTAATTGGTGAAAAAAAATGATTTCAGCATCTTCGATGAAGTTATTTGCATGAGACTGTGATGTTCAAGATTGTAACATCCATTTTTTCGAATGTTCCCGTCGCATTCTTTGCAGTCTAAGTTCTAGATTCTACAAAACATTTGCAAGTTGTATACTATTTGAGTACGCATACATGCAATTTTGTTTTATTTATCATCGGCGGTTGCTCGTTTGTTTTTATTCTGCTCTTCTTAAGTGATGCCTGGTGTTTGGATCTAGATCAGTCTTATGACTTGTTTACAATCATCAGTCCAACTATATGACTGGGTGTGACGCCAGTTAGCAGACAAGTTTCATATCATACTCGTCAGTAAGCAGACAAAACTGACAAACTTAAGGCTGATTAGCTGTAAAAGATGATTCGAGTTTTAAAAACATATCTATTTCTAACCACATTTAATGAAATGAGTCTTTTTATTTCAGAAATTTTAATGAAAAACGTAAATGCTTAAAACTAAACGAAGAGTAAAATTGCTGGGTTTTTAAGTTAACTGCCGCTACGATAGTAATATAATGTTTGTTTAAAATTACTTGCCATAAGTGTCTGCTCACTGGCCTGTTCTGCTTATTAAGTTATCTGCTAGCGACTATATGACGACAGATCATGAAAGCGGCGTCTCATGAAAAGTTCGTCATGAAAAAGACTTTTTGGCTTCTTTGCAAATATATAAACTTACTCTGGACTAAGGGCCACTTTTCACATCATAACTTTTCTTGTGATTGCTTTGTTGATTAAATATTATTAACACAAACAAATATATCGTGAGATAGAAGAGTTTGTTTTGTTTTCGTCCTGCTCCTGAAATATCTATTATTGTGTAATCAAATGATATAATTATCTTAATAAATTGTACGATATGTGTAAGCTTGATGTAAAAAAGCTTATCGAATTTTTATTAGTTAGTTCAATTAAAAAACATCATCTTTTTTAAAATAAAAATGGATTGATGGTATGAATTTTTTTAAAAAAAATCATCATTTTTCGAAATAAAAATTGCATTGATGTATACTTTGTGAGTAGCTAGCAATGAGTTAAAATATTGGTCAGGTGTTAAATAAAGGACAAGGAACCCCTGCCACTGCCGTTCTTTCTCTCTTCTTTGTATGTAATCGCTTGTTGTGATCTACTGACTACAATCCCCCTCCTTATTAGTCTCAAACCATCATGGGGAGGGGGGGGGGGGGGGGTGGGAGGGAGGTATTTGATTGATATAATTTTGATCGTGAAAGCTTTAGCGCTAGCGCAACGACTGGATTTCGGAGAGGGAAATAATTAGTATGCAGATATTGGGGGTATATTTGGATATTGTTAAACAAAGGGCATATAGTAAATAATAAATAATTTTATAAAGGACTAATTTAAAGGTATGCGTCTGCGAAAAGTTTACTTTGTAACGACTCTTCACCCATCTGCAATAGAGGGTTGAGGGGGGTTAACAAGGTTTGATATATTAACTAGGTTCGATGAGGGAAACTGATTTTAGTGCGAGTCTAGTTTAATAAGTTTTCCATTGTGCGGCACTTACAGCGTTACAGCCCCCCCCCCATAGTTAACTATCACACCATGTTTCATGACGAGTGAACTACGATACCAACATTGAAATTATGTTTAAAATTACAAGTGGGGAGAGTTACGCTAGAAGAGCTCATTGTGCTAACCAATGGTGAGCGTTATTCAGCAGCGGACAAAACGGTTCATAAAACTTGAAAATGATCTCAAGTCACAGTCTAGACAGGCTCTGCGTTGTTTCAATTCAGACGTCTAGGTCTAGTAAGAGGTACCACGTTAGGCTGGACTTCGTAATTGATTTTTTTGGCTGTAATCTGATTAAGTTTGTGTTACATGTTTGCGGCATTTTTCAACCAATTTTATTAGACCTTCCACTTATCAGAGAGTAATTGTGGCTGTAGTAGTATGAACAAATTGCAAAAAATGTGAAAAAAAAATCTTTCAGCTAAATATAAAGAGTATTTTTAGTCTCAAGATCCGATGTAGCTAAAACTACTTTTAAATGGGCTTATCGGTACGTTGAAGTGACTTTTCATGGGAAGATTAATTTTCAAAGTGTTTAACAGAAAGACGCATTGATTGAAAAACTCGGAGTTTTAATTCTGTGACTTACTTTCTAAAAACTGAGACATGCCTGACTTCTGATTGTCCCCGATGACTGCAGTCGTGTAAATGTTGTCGGGACAGTCTGCTCCGAAGCATGGAGTCCTTGACGGACCCGAAGAACCGGAAGGTACAAACGGGGTGACCACTGGCTCTTTTGGGCAGAGCGAGTCGGGCTTGGTAAAGAGAACCGAGTGGTACATCTCGGGCTCGGAAATGTTGACGAATGAGCGACATCCAGGGGTTTTAGCGCCCGAGTACCAGAAACATCTTGGGTCCGCCAGTTTAAAGCAACCTCTGAAGTAAAAAACTTTTTGATGAAATCAGTTTGAAAGCTCAGATTTAAAAGAGTCCTGACTTTTTTTAAGGCCTTAACAAAGTTTTTAACGAAACTTGAAACAAAAAAATCGAGTTTTTCGTTACTCAAACTGGGCTACATTCAAGACAGAGTTTGTAAAAACTGACAGGAATTGAATGTATATTTTGATTAATACAACATACCTACAACTTTTTACAGTGTCACAACTAGTTGAGGGAAGTTCTACAATATTTCCTTCTTTTGAAGCCAGCAGAAGCGCATTGTTTTTCAACGTCATCAATGAGTAGTAGCTCTTTCTATTCGACTCAGAGGGATTTTTGACTCGAAAATCTTCTAACCAATCGGCAATTTTTGTTTCGTCGTTGTAGGACACTTTCAGAACTGAGCCAAAGTCAGTTGAAATGTGAAAAACATTTGAAGTCGGCATCTCATTTTCATCTAACATGGTTTCGACGCCAATTTTGTCGAGTTTGAAGTTTTCTCGCATAATTGTAAAAATCGGTTCCTGACGATACGCTTCTTTGATAATTCTTTTATCAACCAAGTATTTTTTGGCGTCGTCCGGGAAAAATTCAGGATCCTGACAAGAGTGAAGAATTTCTTTGTCAGGCACCTTAATGGATCGGTTTGACGGTGAAAATTCTTCGGTACGGTCGCCACGGAGTCTTTTGTAAATTTCGGCTATGTCAAACTGGCAAATTGCCGAAGCTGGGATATTATTTTTTGAAGTTGTGAAAGTGGCAAACATTTTTTGCGATTTGCTATCGAAGTAGGCGTCTTTCATTTCGTTGAAAACGAACTCGGGGCTTCCGGGTATGAAGCATCCTAGTGTCAAAAAGGCGAGAGAAGTCCAAGTCGTGAGTTTCATATAACCGACTTTAGTCAAGTATCCGTCGTCCGAATTGCATACTTTGGCTAACTTGGCCGTTGCTCCATCTTTCTGATCCTGTGCCACATACACGAACCAAGTCTCATCTTGATGTTGGAACTCGCTGACCAATCGAATCACTTGTTCTAGAATGTCTGCAGTTTGCACTTTGATATTCGAGTCACCCTGGAAAAGTTTTTCTATTGAAAGACCGGGATTCTTAGATTTCATTACGATGGATGTTTTCGGGAGATCTGAGGCCAGGAACTTTGTTCGGTGGATCGGACAATAAAACGCAGCGTCCTTAGCTGAATCTGCTAGTTCAGTTAGCTGGTCTTTGTCCGACAGAGCATATCTCTGGATTTCGACATCGCTCTCTTTGCTAGCACAAATATACCACGTGTCGCCTTTACGAACAATCCGAGAAGCTTCGTAACAAGTGGGATCGCTTCGTCCGTTACACGAGAGACCCGTGAACTCTATTTGTTTCAGTGCCAGGCGATCTGATTCAAATGAACTAGTATAAATTGCGCCCTTCGATCCGACGATAATGTTTGTAGAATTGCTAGCTATGGATGTCAGCGAAGGTATTTCGAGACTAGACGAAGATATTTTGGATGCATCGAGGCTCAAAACTTGATTCGGGATTTGGTCTCGCAGAAAAGGCGATACAGTTGTTGTTGAAGATTCATTGAAAAGGGTAATAAAAAGTAAATTACAGCAGCGAAGAAAAGCTACCAAAAGGCTATTCGGTATCTTCATTTTCTCGTTATTTTTCGTTGAAGGGTCAAATATCTGAAAAAAGACAAATTTGTTAATGAAGATTTGTAAATGTGACAATAATCAAAGCAAAATATGAATCATTGAAGCATGTCTAGTTTTAGCAACATTGATCGAACTATTAGTATAACGTATAGGTAGCGTCTCAAATCCTGGAATCTGTGAGTATTAAACGTTCGAGAAGCTTAATGACAAATTGTCGACAGAGATTTTGACCTAGGAGCGGCTATTACCCAAGATCCATTTGTTAGTTTGTTTATAATGGGCTGAAATAACCGCAAGCCGAGGTCTCTAACTGGAAACGTCTGGTGCAATTCACTACAGCACTTGTTGTGATATTTTTTGTTTTTCCTAGAATACAGTTCAGGCTAATCAGTCACTGAGACTCCCATAGTGAGCCGAATAGAGATAAATTAGTCCCCTCCAAAAATTCAAAATAAATTTTGCTGTTTTTTCTCAGGAGTGTTAAGTTTTGATTCTGGACTACTGACTGATATTGACATTTAAATTTTGTTTTTGTATATGTTGATCTGCTTTCTGCAGTTTTTGACGATATTTCTTTAAGACTAAATATCTTTAAGAAAAAAGAAACCAAGCAGTAAACTGGAATTCAGACTCTGCAAATGGCTACCACCTTAAACCCTAAGGACAGCTTTAAAATAATAAACACTCTAACCCCGTAAATTTACTTACAAATCTAATTTAGAGAAAATTCAGTGTCCCGAGGTTAGTTAATGTCTTGGAAAGAATAATAATCTGCTTATTTGAAATCTGGCTCAAAGCCTTTGCAATTTTATTTGGACTCCGATTTGCTTTTGAGGAAACTTAGCCCGCATTGGGCAAATTCAAACTAGATTTGTCGAATAAGTGAATTAGAATTGGTAATATAAGGAACCAAATTTGTCTGCAATTTGTTCAAATGGCGCACGTATATTTGAAATACTTGTCACGTTGATTGCTCGTGTGTACTTCAAGTTCGAAAATAGTTTGCTTAGGTAAAACTATATCTGATAAAGCGTGGAAACACTGACAAATGGTGGGCTAACTTGAGGCAGGGTGCTCTTATATGCAATGGGTCGAGCATTTGAACGGTAAACAGAGGCTATTAAGCGAACAAACAGTTTAATCTCAGGTTCCGCATCTAATTGAGAGCTTAATTCGACAAGTTCGTGAGCACATGAAAATCATATTTTGCCTAATTTTCATATCAAATATCTACCTTTTGTAATTCAACTTCAAGGGCCATATATTGTTTGATGGTAATTTGCATGTGCCTAAGCGAAGTGTTGAAACTCTGACATGTGATGGAGAGAATTCTTTGAAGTTTTATAGTCTAGTCTAACTGTCGTCATTCAAATCAGCACAGCAAGACGATGAAAAACAGCTATAAGGTATAAGAATTAGGGTCATTAGGGAGTTTGAGTTTGATCTTTGAAATTACCGTTCTGTCGCAAATGCAGAAAGGTTAAGTTTGAATAAAGATTCAAATTTTCTTTTTGAATAATGATTCAAATTTTCAAGTTTGTCTGCAATTTTCAAAAAGTGCCAAAATTAAATTTTTGGCTCATTTCTTAAATCAATTTGCCTGCGGTGTGAAAAGTTTAGCTGATATAGACATTTGAGAGTTCGAAGAATGCATTGAGGGTAGATTTAAAAATGTAGTATTTAAAAATTGTGAAGATGATGATTTGAAAATATTAATTCCCTGCTTTGCAAACATTTATCGATCTGCAGTTGTGAAATACAAAAGTTTATTTAGAGCGGCTGTAGCGAAAAAGAACGACGGTCGCTACAGGTAATTTTAAGAATCGGGGACAAATATTACGAGAAAAGTTTTCTAGTTCAAAAATTCCTTCAAAAACCGAAAAAAAAAATTTTATTCAAGGGAACCGAAAAAAATTTTTGCTCAAGAGAACCAAAAAAACTCTCTTTTGCTCAAGATGTCAGTAGTTTCTTCGGATTTACTTAACAATCCCCCCCCCCCATTGTATCTTAATAATAATCTCCACCCCTGTAAAGAAAAACAGTAAATTCACACTAGAGCGTTGTATGCAAATTCGAATTTTGTTGCATTCGAAAATTCGCTGCAAGCAATCTATTCAAGAAGGGGGGAGAGATTGTTAATTGGGGGGAGGGGATTGTTAATGGGTGGGGAGACAGAACTGTAGGATCTAGGATTTTCTCGAAATTTTTTTATCGACTTTTTTTAGGTCGACCAAAATGATTTACCGAGCTCTCCCAAAGCACTAAAAAGACCCTGTTTTGGCTAAAATTTCTGCGGCGCAGACAAAGTTTTGAAAAATAGGCCAAAAATAGCGTTTATAGGCTTTTTGGAAATTTTCGTCCCGATAAAAGTTAGTATATATTGGCGCCAAATGCGGCTTTAGAAAAATTTTTGAGTCCGTCAGCCAAAAAAAAACTAAAAATATAACAGCGAGGAGGATTTGATGCTTCTTCAAAATATTACTAAAATTGTTACTACACTCACCGAAGCTGCGAAGTTTCTTGATTTTTTTTTTGGTTTTAGCAATATCAAATCAATGCATTAGTAAGCGACTATTAAATTGAAGCACTTGGCTTATCTATCTCGACATAATTCATCTGAAGTTAGTTTAAATCAGTCGCAGTTTTGTGGCAACGGGGTCGAAATTGGCTTCAAACTGCAAGCAACGATTTGATGGCAGTTTGGCAAGAGGCGCGAAAACCTATATAAGACGATTTATGGGAGTAAATGCGCTTAGATTTCCAGACGTGCTGTCAAATAAAAAGACTATAAATAATTGGTGCTAATAATTTTTTGCTGAAATAGTTTTTGAACTAAATCTCAATTTTTTGAGCGTGGATTTCAGAGATGTGAAAATCTAAATAAGAAAGTTTACTGAGGTAAGTGAGCTTCAATTTTCAGACGTGGTGCTGTGTAAAAAAGACTAAATAAATTGTGGTTAAAACTTTTTTCGCTGAATGAGTTTTTTATTCATTGAAATGTACTCGTGCGTAAGAATTTTATAGTAAAATTTCAATAAAATTTCCAGAGAATTTAAATGAAATCAAAATGTGTAACTTTTCGAAATTCGAAATTAATCAATGTTAATTGCTGTTAGCAAACACCTTTTGTGTCGGCTATAGCGATGGTCCATTTTTACATTTTCTCAATACAATGATCGACACAGGTAGATAAACGAGACAAAACGTGACTTTGATTGACTAATTGTTACGCTTAATTACTATTCCAACTATGCGTGTATAATTTAAGCCACCAACAATTAAATGTTAATTTTGAGACCAGCAAAAGTCTGAAAAGTTATTAGAAAAATGGCTCCGACTGCGATGTCAGATTAAACATACGAAACAGTAGTGAGAAAAAGAGGCTGAAACGGTGGGGTTCCAAACATCTGAACTGTAGTTTCCGCTATGCGTATACTCCAAAAAGAAACGAATATTTGACTATTTATTATAACTAGTCCATTTTCCGTTATATTAAATCAGCATGCATCTATAAGTATATCAGGATCAGCTAATAAAAAGCTTTTCTCAAACATTATTTATTTTATCATCATGCAAAATAATATGAAATTGATGTTTGCAGTTTCAGTTTACTTTAGCACACTTTAGTATGCGTCTCTCATAATATATATGTAACAAAACCTTCTTGTACCCATGCATGATGATTGGTATCCAGCTACAGATATGAATTAATCAGACTGTGTCATTTTCATGCTCCTGCCACGATCATAAGCGAAACTATATGGTTTGCAATATGCTATATAAATAATATCATGATTGCGGTTTATGATGCTTAAGTTTTCGTGAGCAAAAAAGAAAAGCAATAAGACAAAAAAATTGAATGGCTGAGATCAGATGAGTTAGGACTGGAGTGTATAACTCATAGAGTAATTTCGGATAGGGTACACCGTCTGCTCGTCACGCTATCTTATTTTCGGCCGGATAGATTCGTGCAACTTCTTAGTCTAATACCGATCCTAATCTTACTCTTATACTATCTAGTCTCAGGTTGTTTAACTAGTCTCTGCTAGGCTCAATAGATCTAGGGTATACTGGTTTATTGCGGCTGCTGAAGTGCTCGGGAGAGTCCAACTAATTTCTAAGTTAAATTCAAATCTCTCTGGTGCTGAAATTACAAGTAACTTCAGCACTTACAAATAAGTGGGTTGTTAGTTAGATGGATCATGATTGGTTAATATTAAATACTTTACATTGGTAAAATATCTAAATTATCCAATCATAAAATGTAGTCTAGATCAGGTTCCACAGGGGCGGATTTAGGGGAGGGGGGCGGACGTCTCTTTCTTAGGGATTCGACCCCCTGCCTACCCAAAGGGTCTCCCCTTTGTACTGTTTTAAGATATCCATATTTGGTGACGGACCCTAAATTTTTTCTGAAGGCGCCAATTTAAACTTACTTTGAGGGGGGAGCGCGCGCCAAAAAAAAACAATTTTTTATTCAAAATTTTCCAAAAATTGCCCAAAAACGCCTTTCTAAGTTTTGCCTGTACATTTACTCCCAATTTGATCGACCTAAAAAAAGGTCAAAATTTTCGAAGATTTTTTGAAAATCCGCCCCCGCCTCGAGAAAATCCTAGATCCGCCCCTAGCTGGCTGAGATGAATGAATGCTCAAAAATAAATGAAAATTTTTGTGCTTACTTTCGTTTTGCCTAGCTATTATTGTAAAGAACCAATTATTGGTAATCAATTTTGCCCGCGTCTTTCGGCTGATGATGGACTTCGAAAACATATACAATGGATAAAGAAGCTGGAGCATTTGCTGGACAACAAAAAAGTGTTCTTTTTTGCTGGTAAAAATGGTTCAAAAAGAGCGACACCAGTAAATCAAAAATAAGTTTTGTTCTCGCTTTTTGTACTAAACTTATTAACATACAATGTATTACTGGTCAAAGGGTCGAACTCTTGGCTAGGGAAAGGGAGTCCACCCCCCCATACCCCCCCCCGCTACCTAAATCCGCTACTGAGTTGTAAGATGTCGTACTCACCTTTTTGATTGAATAATTGTGACTTCAATCTGGATGAACTGATATATTGTTATTTTTTGTTTGCCTCAGTTGGTCATATGATGAAAAAAACCACAAAACAAAAAAGAGCAACTTGTGAGCCAATGTAATAGTTGTGAGTTTCAACAATCAGTTTTAATACATCACACGAATAAACCTGGTGACAATGACGCGTTTATAATTTATGTTTTCTAGGCACATTAATATACATGAAAGAACACATGAACTTTCCAAAATATCACGTTTATAGTTTACTATCAAGTTTTACTACTAACTTAGAACATAAAATCAAGCCTTGCTCATATTTTCATGGCCTGATAAATCGTTTTCATTTTACAATGGTCTTCATATTCATAAAATGAAACTTGACTTCAACGTAGGACGAGAGTTTTTAAGTCCGCTGAAGACCGAAACGCTCGATTAGTTTTGTATTCGCTTTAGTTTTGTCAATCTAAAAGCGCCTCCCACCGCGACTATAAATTACTCGAGTCCATTAATTTCATCCGCTCTGTCAATGCGTTTTTGAATTGATTGACCAGAGTTTCAATTGCTTCTGAAGAGGTCGTAATCCGCTAAAATGAATGATTCATTTTCTGTAACAATTAATCTATGTGTATTCTGATACAGTTTCTATGAGAACATCTGCGACGATGATGCTGTTTTTGTTATTGTTTCAGTGGACGTAAAAGATTTAAAAAACTGCTCGTAGCGACGCTCTTGAGTGTTCCGACTGCCCTATAATGTATAAAAACATAAAATTGTCAAAAAAAATTGTAAAACAAGTTACTTGTACTTCAATAAAGTTGTCAGGAAAAAAAAGTTACTTGTATTTAAATTTTTGGATCTACTTAACAATCTCGCCCCTATTGTATATACTAAAGAATCTCCCCCCTATTGTATCTACTAAAAAATCTCCCCCTTTCTTGAAAGGGGGGAGATTGTTAAGTAGATCCAAATTTTTTAATGTATAATATTTAAAAGAGGTAGGCAAGATGTGAAAACAAGCGTTCCTCTGTTTTGACAGAGCTTTTATAATGCTAAACGATGAAACTGGTACTAATTTTTTTTGTTCCAATTGCTTCATGAAATGAGTT